ACAATAATTTTCACCTTTCTGGTGTTGAATTTGCCTCTTGGTAGAGTGTAACTGATATTGTGGTTCTAATCTTTCACAAGTGTAAACAGACAGTTAAAACTGATTATTTAAAAATCAATATTTTTATACATTATTTACATTCTTCTTTTTTTTTATAATCAAATATTTATAAATTGGTACAAGCATTATTCTAAACACATTTTTAATAACCTCCTGGCTATCCCTATATTTTGTTATTATTTTAATAAAGAAGCCAGATACATTATTGTACCGAATTAGTTGTTTTATTGATAAGCTCTCCAATTGCACAGGTTTTGTTTATAACATCATTAAGTTATCTTCCTAGTTAAGTCACAATTAACTTGGTGGCGCCCAAAGGTAAGATGTATACAAGGAACCCATAGACCCATGGCCTCCGAACTGAAGCTGACTAGCCGTAGCAGTATAATTAGGCAATTGCCAAAATAAGTACGTTATATCATGCTGGGAACCACATCGAAAACATTTAAATTTGTTGAATTGTATTTTTTTGATCACTGACCTGTCAGTTTTATATGTAACTTTGTCAACACACATGTCATTGGGACTTGAAGATAAAATTTTGATATTTTTTTCTGCTAATTCAACAGATTTGCATACATCAATCATTTTTTCTAATGAACAGTCATCACGTAAAAAACGTTCCTTCAAACTTTTTGAAAAAATTCCCAATACAATTTGTGCTTTCAATAATTTGGTTTTCTGACTTTCAAAATGACATAAGTTGATCAGAAATTTTAGGTCAGCATAAAATTTCTCAAATGGCTCACCTTCTTGTTGCTTCCTATTTAAGTATTGGTATACATTCATTATTTCATTTTCTTTGGGTATGCAATGATTTTCCAAAACGCGTAAGATCTTCTCAACATTTTCTTCTTCTGGCTTCAGATCAGAAATAGATTTGTACTGATCCCACCAAATTCTTTAATCTTGCTACTTGAACTTCCTCCGATTTTTTATTCGTTTCAGTAGCCAAAAAATAAATCTGCACTTCATCATTAAAGTTACGGAAATTTTCAGCAATATTTCCACTAAGGAATAGCTCTTTAGGCTTGTTAAATTCCATTTCTTCGTAGGTCGGTTTACTATTACGACTGCGCCATGTTTTATTTTATAACATAGGTTTATTTAGGAACATTTATTATTACAATTATTATATTATTTGACAATAATTATCATCTAACTATCAAACTGACTTAACTAGTTTCACTGGTAAGTGTCTATTAATATAGGTAATTATTATGTTAATATTACCTATATTAACATCCTCTACATTATATATTATACCCTATATGTTTTGAGGATATAAATCCTCATCCTCAGACTCCTCAGAGGCAAAAAAGCTTAAAAATGGTGAGTTAAAATAAAAGTCTAAGACGCCAGATCTCGCATTTGCAATGAGAGAAAAAAAATTAACTAATATACAGATATTGTATTGCATCAGTTTAAATTCTGTATACTATTTGGGACAGACAAGTATTACTAGTATAAAACGCGTTGTTCTGCACTTTTTTTTATACCCATCAATATTAATTGCTTTATTGCAACTATAATAGAAATTGTATCGAGAATCGAGATTATACAGAAAATAGTATAGTTATTGAATCAGAATTTACATACCCAATGTACGAGTTGTATAGTCATTGTACAACTGGTTGAGTAGCCATTATGTAAGTGGTTGTATAGTGTTTTTAAGTTGCAGAATGCCCAATAGCCCCAATATATAAATAGTTGCATGACTCTAGTTAAAGTTGTTGTATAGCTAGTATAATACCTACTGGTTGTGTAGTCACTATACCAGGATTGTTTACCCATGCTACTTATGGTTGTATAGTTATTAAACTATGCTTTCTTTAGCGGCTGCATTATGTGTATACAAGAGTGTGGATTAGTCGATGTACCGATAAATTAAAAATCGCGTTGGTCGTCAGTTCAAAAATTTAAGTTTTGACAGAATTTAGTGATGTAGGTATTTATAATTCTGACAAAAATTACATTTCAAAACCGCCAAACCATAATTTGCAATATATCTTCACAACTGGTTAACAAAACTAAAATAAAAATGGAATAATTATTGATAAGTAGAATGCTCAACTAATAACTATACTTATTTATATGTTGTTGGGTATATACTCAAGGGGGTGACTTATAGTCCTGTATGGTAGGTTTATAATTGATGTTTTTGTCGGACAGCAAATTGGTCGCGATATATTTGTCGGACACTTATATTACATGTCGATTACTTCTCTTACATTCATGATTCTTTTTTTGTCCGACAGTTATTCATTAATTTTTTGGCTTCGTGAAACCGATAATTTTCTCGCGTCGGACTGGAAAATCGGAAAATCTACTATGTCGGACACTTGGATATTTATATTCTACATATTTTTATTAAATAGTCCCGAAAAAATCAGCTCGTTATCCAAAAATTATTTTTTTTAACTTGTCAATTGGATATGTTTGACTTGATAGACACCCTTAACGGTCCAACATTTTTATCGGACACATTTTTTTTCGCGTTTTTCATGAATTTGTCTCGCGATTTCACTTAAAATGAAAACGATATCTATAAATTTTTTGCATCACGCGAAATGGTCGGCTTTCGGAAAAACTAGAAAAGAAAAGCCCCCACTACGAAAGTTTTCATAAAGGAAAAAGGTGGTAGACTAGGCGCAATTCAGCCACACAAAACTTTCCATGACAGTATTCATAAATACAACTTTATGTCGCTGGGCACCTACACTATCACGTCCAGCTTCAAAATACTTGAATTTATGAATACTGTGTCTTCACGGGGACGAGCATTATCAACTGACTGACTTGGGAATTTGGAAAGCCCGTTCACAACAAGGTTTACTCCAATTTTCTGGCATGGCTTGTTGACAGATATATTTTTTTTCCTTCATCCGAGAATCAAAAAGGGAACTTGTAACTCTCTGCGTCTTTTCGATAGGTTTTAGTATTCCTACCCAATACGACATGCAGTGTTGCCAGCATCAGTACAGATGTACTGAAATCAGTACAATTTGACTCTCTTCAGTACGTCAGTACCACACTATAAAATTCAGTACATTTTGCCGCCGCTGTACAATACCGGAGATATTTTTTAGACGGCGGGAAAAATTAACGAATACCTGAACTTTCGAATGGACGGACGAGGCGCACGGATCACTCCGGGTGCATCCCAGCAGAATATTGAACGCACGCCAAACATGCCCGTTGATAAGTAACCTGCCCCAATCTGTAAAGTCAGATCATTACTGACTTTAGTTAGGTAAAGAGGTACCTAGTAGATAAAAAACAATGTTTTTCGTGAAGCCTATGGCCCATCCGAGTGTTTAACTAACCCACTAACCAAACCGTGAAATATTAAAAATAATTTAAAATGAATGATTTTTTATTTGGTGTTTTAAATTTAAAGCAATACAGGAGTAGGAAAAACAAAATAGGTATCTTAAAACCATCTTCTTTATCAGTTTTATGAACTTCAGTTCAGTTTCTGAAGTTAGTACATTTTTCCGTTTTTCGGTACATTTTTTGTCTCTTGATCAGTACTTTAATTTTCAAGTGTCTGGCAACGCTGACGACATGGTTATATTTCACCCTCTTTTATTCAAGCTTATTGCCCACAGATAGTCCGGGCCTTGGCTTACTTCTCGTCCAGTTTTGGCAGGAAGGAACTGTCCAAGTTGACAATTCCTATTCGTTTTCAGTAGAATCAGGCTCTTTACCCTCTTGGGTTACCGCCTCCAATTCCTCATTAAAAAACAAAGGTAGAGAGAAGGACGTAAATGACTCTGTGATGTTTCTGTGCTTGGGGTTCTGGATTTCTGAATTTGAGGGTTTCGCTGAGAGAGTGATGTTTTTTTGTAAAAATCTTCTCATTCTCTTCTTTGAGTGAATCAACTAGCAACGTGTGAGTTCAATCAACTCCTTTATTGTCTGCCTTATGGTATCTAGAGATTTGCCACCGAAAACCCAGAGGCTCAAAAAAATTACCTCTCGACTTCTGGCATTACACCTAATAAAATAAGAATCGTCACTGAGAAGCTCAAAGCGTGTCACGGAAAACAACAAGAATTTCTATAAAGTTCTTGCCTCAAAAGGTGTTACACATGTAAAACTCACGTACTAGTTCGAATTTACTCTGGAAAAACGAGCAGATGAATATTTATCACTAAAGTAGGTAGCTACCTAGTTGTTAGAGCTTCTGCATATAAAACTTTCAAATCCGGAAAACCTCCAACAGGCGACAAATGGAAACGGATTCAACAATGTTTTTCGCTGTGAAATTCGTTTTGCATCGTCCATATCGTTATAGAGGAATCGTTCGATCGCATAAACTATTGTGTCTGTAGTCAATCAAAGATATTAACTTTTGTCTTTTATTAATGACAGATTGGAAGATATGAATTGATTTTATGCTACACATAAAAATGTAACAAGGAATTTTGTTTATTGAAATTCATATTCAAATTTGCTAAGAAAACTCATGTGGCAGATGACACCCGGTCAATAACTTAATAAGTTTATGTTTATATCTCATTCCTGAGAAAAGACATATCTTGTTTAAGTCCTTTTCATTCCATTATTTTATTTTAAATTTTGCTAAAACTGGTCAATTCGAAAAACATTTATTTTCAATTAACAGAAACTGATTAGACATTCAAATTGTACGAGAATAAAGTTATAAAGGTCTTTAAAATCATCTCGTTACCCATCCTCAACCTTGCCGAAACCCAACTAGGCACGACGTAATAGCCGAATCCTCTTAAAACAATATAATAACCTATAATTGGAACCTATAAACAATAAAATAGTTTCAATAGAAGTAGTCAAAATTGGCGATAAATTATCGAAAATTGATCCGGCGTAGGATGAATTTTTGTTCTAGGAGGGTCCCACGGAGTATAAAAGATGCTTGACAAGCCTACGAAGACTTAAAGCATGTTAATTTTTAGGGAGATCATATCATGTCCATTATGTTATCTGATATGATGGGTGAGAACGATGATGACAATAGTGAATTGAGTGAACACGCTAGATTCCTAACTAAAGGTAAGAATATTTATATTATTTTTGATTTAATCCATTTTATTTGCCCTGCTTGTAAATAACAGACAAACCGCTTCATGCTTAATGTCTTTTCATCATTAGAACAGGGCTAATTTAAACCCCCTGTTAAAAGCTAACGGTTACATACCTGCCGTAGGTGCATTTCTCCTGACACCGTCGCACGATTTAAGTTTGGACAAAGCTGCGAATATTTGCGACAAATTAAACTTCAGAGGAAGTTTTAGCTTGACCAAAACCGCTACTGGAATATTGTTTAAGTTTTCCGAACCTGACGATTATCAGCAAGTGTTTAGGAAAGGATTTCATAAGGTAAGAATTTTGTTCAATATGTTGACAAACTGAAAGTGGCATATTATTTATACATGGATGTTCAAAAAAAATTAGATTCTTTCACATAGGCCTTATTGAAAAAAAAAAACAGATTTTGCTTGAGCGCCAGAACTACAATTACCGATACCAAAAATAAGTGGATACCTACTATATGTAGAATTTAAAAAAAAATATATTACATTTTGCAAGCAGTTTAATTTTCAATTCAAAGTAAGCAAAGTAAAGGAAATAGAGTCACAAATTAAATATTAACTGGTTAATTTATAGTGAACTTGAAATAATTATACTAACGAAAAAATGCTGGTATTGCTGAATTTTATCAATAATCAATCTATCTCTAAAGTTATTTCTTAGTTCAACAACGATGTAAAATTACCGAACAGAGTTTATATGCAAACATATAACTCAAAACCAAAAATTTAAATTGCATCTCTCGATATTGTTCAAACTCCTTCTAACTTGAAGACTTTTCGGGAGAAAGTTCGCCTGATGCCTTTTAGGTAACGTAAGGTGGTTTTCCATGTTTTAGACGCGTATAATTTAAAGTTTGGACTTCGGTATTGCGGCGCTTCCGGAAAAGTTTTCTGGATCACCATTTGCCTGCACACAGATCCAGAAAGTTTTGTCTATTGTCCTACGATAATGAAGTTATTAGATTCCGACAAACACTAAAGGGTTGTTTTTTGTGCTGAGTTTGAAATCCAAAGTAAAATAATTATTTTTCGATTCAATGACAATGAAGAATGATTCTAATGGTAACTTTTAAAGGCAGTTTTTAGACCAGATAAGCTTTGTTTGCAGGAGAACAGACTGGGATAATACATTCTAGGATAATTTCGATCAAGTTTACTACAAAATAAAATTTGTCACGTTGGTTTTAAATTCAGGCCAACTTAAGAAATTTCTGGGATATGGAGAAAATATCATTTTGAATTTATTTTTTATGTTTCTGATGCAGAGCGACATTCTTAGCAGTATTTACAGCAATTTTTTAGGAAAAATATTATTTTCTTAAAAAAGGTACAATTAAAACTAAGTGATTCTTAACAAGATGCACTTGAGCAGTTTTTTAATTTCGAAAAAATGCTATTGTGTAAAATGAAGCTCCAGGAAGTATGCATAGATTTCATGGCCAAATACAGAAGAAATCTTAACTTCATGTCTTTCGCTTTTTAAGTCCAAAAACTATGAGTTGTGTTGTTCTGGTTATTCTCCTTCAAGCTATTGGCTTAGGCAGCATGGCCAGCATGCATAATTAAATTAAATGATATTTGCAGACGTATGAAAGATATATTCTGCTCATTAATGGCGATTTAAACCCTAAATTATTATTATGGCCTTGAGAGATGCGAAGTTTTATTCATGACACTGAAGTTTCGGAACAGCTATTGTTCAATTTTTCGCAACTTGATGCATACTGCATCTTCCAGTTGATCATCAAGTTTTTCAAACTCGAACTTCTTAGGTCAATATTTCTAGGTTGATAAAATGCTGCGTGTGAATTCCCTAAGAGAAGCATATCATCCAGCGCAGGTTTTAATTACCTATTAAAAAAGTCGTATCTTAGATGTTTTTTAATTAAAATTTCATATTCTAGAATTGGAAATGATTCGTTCGAATGCATACCCTAATAACACAGTAACATCGCAGAAACATTCCAGAAACATCCATCAGGGATAATGAAGACGTCCCTGGGAGGTCCCTATTTTCCTGGGGACATCCCTGGGATGTTGCAGGCAACAGCCGTGTCATCATTTGCGATGTCCTATAAACATCTCTCAGGGATGTTTCTAAGATGACGCGGGATGTACCTAATACATCCGGGGCAGGTGTAAGAAACATCCTCTATATGTTTCTAGTATGACTTTAATAGGTGAATGAATTTTAGGATTATGGATTAAAAATTACCTAATTCAATAATTTTCAATTTTCGTTCTATTTTCTGGAAGTCAGAACTTTTTCCAAAAAAAAAACAAAAATTGAAAATTATAAAATTAAGTAGGCACATCAGTTTCCAATAACATTTTTTATTGAAAAAATAAGGTACATGTATACTTATATTGATTATCTATCAACTAATAATAATCGACGGACAATTTTGCCTAAATAATGTAGTATTTATGCCCCGTCATGTCATCGAAAACCAAAGTTTGGCAGTGGCAGCATGTTGTAGTAGGGGAGTTCGGCGTTTTCTTTTTTTTTTGGTGCTCCAATTTCATAAAGGTACCATTATCTAACCAAAACAACCACAGAACCAAAATCCAAAGTTCTTGAAGTACAATTCAACTTGCACACCTAGAATGTAATCAACTATGAAAACAAAAAATAATTATTGGTTATTTTCTCTTACCTAATGAAGAATGAAGTTCGGGTTTCTAGGGGCTATTTATCAGAAAAGTTAGAAATTTCCTAACCGACGCCATATTGAAATTAAATAAACTAAACAATTGATAGTTATGCGACGTTATCTTTCAACAAATAATCTTTCTCACCAACTAATAAGCACTGGTAGGTCGCAGAGATCCTTTCGAACACAAAATGGCACAACTAGGTGTAGCGAAAAACCACAAATTGACAAATCCTCCACACAGCACGACGCCATTACGAAATAAAATTCCGCCCAACAACACAAGCGTAGCGCACAGGACGACCCGTTCGACTGATTCTGCCCGTCTGCGCTGGCTGCGGCGCCGACCCGACGTGGTGGCGTGCCCTCCTGTCCTGACCGGTACAAGTACAAATGCCTGAGCACGCGCCTGCGCCATACACTTCGGCTTCACGAATATTCACGATGTTTGAAAGTTGAAAAGAGAGAAGACTTTTATCAATACATATTTTATTTTATTCCAAGTTGTAAGTCGAATGAAAAATTAAATATTGCTGTTGTTACAATACAAAATTAATATTAAGTTCCTTATTATCTATATACATTACAGGTATATTATGGAATTTGAAATTAGTTTGTGTGTGTGATAGAGACATTTTCAGAAATCACACAAAATTGGCAAATTTAATACTGGGTCCTACCGGTCTGAGGTCCTACCTAGTTTTGTAAAATAATGTTAGCCATTTTTTAGCTGTAATAAGTATCTAATTTTGAGAACAAAAAATCTTTTTGTCGATAGATATTTTCGAAAGGATGTTTCTAAAACATTTCAGGACAATCATCCTAGAGATGTTACATTACAAACATCGCAGCGATGTACCATTTATGTCGGAAACATAAGGACCTTAATGGTACATAAATAGGATGTTTCTGGGAGATCGGTGTTATTAGGGTAACTTTCAGTTTTCTCAGCTCCGCAGCAATTTTGTTCCGCCATCTCAGTCTAGGTCTTCCAAGTGGCCTTTTTCTCTCTGAGGCTTTCTGCCATACCAGTCTTATTAGCCTTTCTTCGGATTGCCTACGTACCCCAGGGAAATAAGACAAAAAAAAGAGCCATCCGCGGCATGGGTCCGAACAAACTGAATTTCTGCAGAGACCTTCGTTTTGATGTTCTAATAAAGCACAAAAAATCTCATATGCCTACCCTTGTGCGTCTTGGGATATCAAAGGTCAAAGTTCATTTTGCAATAATCTACCTTCCTGTGCATCTGACGTCAAAAAACTTCAAACAAAACTTACGTAAAATAGTATTTTCTACAAAATTGCTTATTTACATTTTTCTCGTACGAACAAACGTTTTCGAGATATAGCCTGATAAAGCGGGAGCGCGCATATATTCAAATCAGATAATACTGTATTATACTGCGCAACTATAACTATAAATGCATTTTTCCTAGTCTGTTAGTCTGGAAAATAAAACTTTCAATTATAAAATTGTTAGAAATTTGTTTATTTTATAATAGTAGTAACTAATATTTATGTATCAAGGGAATTATGAGGGATTCAATACCTCTTGATACCCCAGGGCAAAGTTTGTGTCCCTCGGGCCCTTGACCCGAGGGACACCAATTGCCCGTGCGTATTAACACCTGATAATTGCCGTGGTATATAGATAATTTTATTTCCTACTGAATTAACTGTATTTTGATCATTTTTATAAAGGAATAAACCATAAACCAAAATTTCAATTTCAATCAAGGTAAAAGCGAGAGTTATGAAGTCCTACTCCCTCGCAGAAGCTAAGGCCCTGTTTATGATTTTCGTAACCAAGGTATTATTTGGTTATAATAGTTCAGTAGGTTATAATATATTATTCGATTTTTTTTAGATTCAATTAACTTCGAACTCGTTTTCTTCATATTCTCTGACAATTGATTTTCATTCTCGTCAATAGCACAGATCACCTAATACAGATGCGTAAGTACGTATACTTGCCGTCGACGATATTCTGTGACGAAGCCGGGCTTCCAGCAACCCCACGCATAGATAAAGATCGCCCGCGTCAGAACAATTAACGTGGCCGAGTGCGTGAGCATGTTCCAGCCTGTGTGTTTACATATTTTTGCGGGTAGAAAAATAGTATATTGTTGTATTAGGAGTAGAAGCTTTACTTTTTTGTGCTGAAGCAGTAGGTTTGCGAGCCGAATGTAGTGAGGCTTGCAATACTGCTGAAGCACAAAAAAGTGCTTCTACTCCGTATGCAACACGCTATTTTTTCTCCAAACCAATGTGGTAAGCTCGGGGGTAACTGGATGGTTGAGCGGCAGTAAAGGTACGAGCGGCACTAAAAGTACTTTTACTGCCGCTCCAGCGGCACCAAAAGTACTCTTGCTGCCGCTGGGGTTGCCAAGCAGCATAGAAATTAAATTTCTACCACCTCGACAGGTGTTAACCTCCTGGATTTGCCTAGCAACATAGAAATTGAATTTCTACCATCTTGACAGGTGTTGACAAAGTGATGTTTTTTTGACGTTTGGAGAAAAAATATTTTTTCTCCAAACGTCAGAAAAGCGTCACTTTGTCAATTCCTGTCAAGATGTCAGAAATTTGATTTCTATGCTGCTAGGCAAATCAAGCGGGCTAACACCTATCG